GGATAGAGGTAGTCGTGGGCGGTTGGCACATGTGTCAGTTGTCAGAACAAAGTCCCTTCCCACTTGCTCCTTGCCTTCTTCTCCTGGAAGAACAACGACCCCTAGCGGCTTGTGCTGGGCAGCTGCACACTGATGGGGTTTCTAGTTCTTGCCCGGGCCCCTGTGGAAGAAGCTCTGCACAGCTGCTATGGGCGTGGCTGGACTCAGGCTGCTCCTCCACTATGGCGGGGCCATGCCAGAGGGGGAACAGGCGGGAGGCTGTTTATCACCGTGAGGGGCCTCAGAGCAGCATTGCCGCCCATGGGGTTAGGGCGCCTGGAGTTCCCCAGGATTCCCAGCTGCTGGACTGAGTGTGCTGGGGTGCTTCTGTCCTGCTATGAGGCTCCTGTCCCTTTAAGGCTTTCAAAAAGCACTCGCTTTTCTTTTGTCCCAAGGGCACCAGCTGTGGGGACTGGCTTGCTGGTTTTACTGTTCCGTTTCCCCAGTATCCAGCACCCCACACACTGTGTGTCTGTGATCCCAGTGTGGATGACTAGGGCTGGGTATTTATCAGTCCTGGGCTCCCTCTCCCTCCACGCTATGACTCCTCTCCTCCTGCTGGGGAGCTGGGGTCAGGGTGGCGCTTGGTTCTGCCTGGCTACAGCTTGTATCTTACCCCCTTCATGAGGTGCTGGGTTCTTGCAGATGTAGATGTAGCCTGGTTGTTGTCCTGTATCTTCTGGTCTCTCTTTTAAGAATTGTTGTATTTGTTGTATTTTTCAAAAATATATATGGTTTTGGGAGGAGATTTCTGCTGCCCTACTTATGCCACCATCTGGGCTCCACCTTTATTTCTATTAATATAAAATGACCAACTCTTTCTCACTTGAGACTTTTTGCTAGAATTCTAACTGGATAGATTCTAAAATAGTTTTCCATGTTTTCTTTTGATTTTCATTTCCCAAATTAACCTTTTTTTAACTTCATATTTTTAAACTTTTACTATTTTATTGAAATTAATTCAACCTGACTGGTTCTTACACTTAATAAATTGACCTTAGTACATTTACTGTCATTACTATTTGCCTGTGTTTCTGTCATCTTATTGACATATTGGGTCTTTGTTACACTGCTATTTATTTATTTGCTTTAAAATTTGCATTATTGAATATACTCATGTTCTGTATGATATTTCTGGGAAATTTAGAAAGTAGGATATCTTCCTTTAATTCTATTATAATTTATGTCTATTTGTGACTATCATAAAATTTTTCAAAGATAGTCTTAGATTTAACTTATATTGTCAGAATCCATAGCAGAGTAGGACTTTTTAGTTTTTGATTACCTTTATTGAAGTCTGATTGTGTGGAATGCTCCCTGCTCCCCACCATAGTATTTGTTTTATAAACTCTGCCATTGATAGTTCCTTTCTTTTCTCTCTCCCTGATTTCCTTCCTTATTTTCTCCCTGTCTTAACTATTCTATAAAAATACAACATACATAAAGGAAAGTATAGAGGGCTCAATAAAACAACCAAAAGTAAATAGAAACCATATGCCTTATGATAAGTATCCAGAAGCCCACCCAGATCATCACCCAATCAAAACCTCCTCTCCAATTACTAAAGTTAAATCAACACCCTAACTCATAATAATAACCACTACCTAGATTTTCTTTATCATTTTACCACAAAAACATGCTTTTCTAAATATCAGACTTTTTTGAACTTGATTTGAATGAGATTATAGAATATACTGGCTTTTGTACCTCCTTTGCTTATTATGCTTTGTACCTTTGTTTATTATGCTTATGAGATTCATCCATGTTTTAGCCTGTAATTGTAGATTGTGATTTCCAAAGATACTTTGTTTCATCTTTAAATTTGTTTCTCTGTATGTAACTTGTCTTTTCCTTTGATTGTTTTTGAGATTTTTTCTCTTTATCACTGTTGTTGAACTAGTTGATTATGATGTCTTTAGGAATAATTTTCTTTGTGTTTCTTCTGCTTTGAGGTCAGAATGCTTCTTGGATAATGTAGGATCTTAGTTTTTATGAAATTTCTGAAAAAATTCAGGCATTTGTACTTCAAATATTTTTTTTTGTCTCCTCCTCCCAAGCCTGCCTTCAAAGGTTCTAAATCATATATATAATAACTCATGTAATTACCCTTGAAGTTGTTCCATATCTCACTGATACTCTTCATTTTTTTTTCAGTCATTTATTCTCTCTGGGTTTTAGTTGGATGGTTTCTATTGGTACATCTTCAAATTTACTAATCTTTTATTCTGCAGTGTCTAATCTGCCATTATTCCCTTCAATTTTAATCTCAAACATCTGTTTTACATTTTTAGAAATTCAATTTGGGTCTTTTTATGTCTTCCATGTCTAATTAACAGGAACAATCTTTCTTTTAGTTTTGGAAGATGTGGGATATAATTATTAAAACTCTTAACATATGATTTCATATTAATTATACCACCTATGCCATTTCTGGATCAATTTCTACTAATTGATTTCTCTTCTCCTGTAGGTAATACTTTCCTGCTTCTTGTCAAGACTTGGTATCATCAATATTCAGTTAGATATCCAGTAATTACCACTTACCTTGATTTTATTTGCTTCCTTCATCTTTGACCTTTCATCTGGGATCAGTACCTTCCTACCTACAGAACACCAGAATTCTCTTGTGATGAACTTTCCATTTCTTTCTTTTTTTTTTTTGGTCTGAATGTCCTTAATTAACCTTTATTCTTGGAACATACATATTCCCTGGGTTTAGAAGTCTTGGTTAGCAGCTATTCTATTGTATTGCCTTTTTATTTCCATTATATTTGTTGAAAAGTCAGTTTTTAGTGCAACTATTTGTTTGAATGTTTTGGATGTTCTGTCTGTTTTTGATTTTTAGAAGTTTAACTATGATGGTCCTAGCTGTGGATTTATTTTGCTTAGAGTTCAAAGAGCTTTTGGAACATGTGCCTGGATATCCTTCATCAATGTAGGAAATTTCTCATCATAACTTTGAAATACTGCTTCTGCAATTCCTTCTCTTGTTTCTGCCTCAGACTCTAATTACATATGTGATACACACTATCATCTTATCCACCATATCCTTCCCTTTCTTTAGTTTGCCTTCTTTCTTTTTTCCTCTACAGTTTTTATTTTGGATATATTCATTTGGCATAACTTCGAGTTCACAAATTCTCTTTCATCTGTGTCTAATTTGCTGTAAAACTATAAATGCATTCATTGAATTCTTCATTTCAGTATTCACTTCTAGATTTCTTTGTTTTGAGTTTCCAGTTTTTAGCTAAAATTTTCTTACTTATCTCTATCTCCTTATACATGGTCAGCATAATTATTTTGTACTTTGTGTTTGTAACTTTAATGCTTTCAGCCTACATGAGCTTTATTTTCTTGACTCTTTATTTGGTTTTAATGTTACCTTGTTTGATTTTTTTTCTGGTTAATTTTTGTATTTGTGTGCTGGACATTATATTTGACTAATAGTTTATGTAAATGGTTTAAAACCTAGTAAGAAAAAAGCCCCCCCTTTTTTTCAACTTGTAAACATTTTACATTTGTTTTTCTCAGGTGCCTAGCAATCTGGCTTGGTCTTAATATAATTTAATTTATTTTGGGGATTGAGATGATTTAAAGCTGGGAAAATCTTTCAGAAGGCTGGTCTACTGCTGGTTCATCTTTTCTACTAGAGTAGGGTTAGAGTACACAAAATGGGGCTTATGAGGGTCTATGGCCCTTTACAACAGTGGGACTACACCAGATACCTTTTGTAGAATCAGCAAATTTCATAGGATGAAAACAGTTTCAAATTTGGAGGATACCAATTTTCTCCCAGAAACAGCCTAACAATTCTTCATTATATTGTGAACTCTCTGATGCCTTTAAATAGACTCGTTATTTCATTTTATTTTATTTTAGTCTAGGTTGTCTACTTCAGTGCAAGTAATGGTCTAAATTATTTAGACTTTCATTACAGTAAGCAGAATCTCTCCTTTTTCTTTCTCATTATTAAACAACATATGCTATAATTTTCAAAGATAAAAGCAAACATTTAAGCAAGATAGTTTGATACAAATTTTGAAGCACTTACTTCAACATTTTCATACATGTAATGAGCCTTTTATCATACTGTCCTTTCCAACTGTGCCTTTCTCAAGCTGAATTTTTCCTTCTTTTCTATTTTTATTGTTTTTGTATAGGCCTTCTGTTAGTTTATTCAGAAAGGATACTTGGGTGGCATATTTTCTTAATCTTTGCTTCCTGAGAAAATATTACTCTTTATGCATGAATAATAACTTAACTAAATATAGAAACTGTGCCCTTTTGAGCAATGGAAATGTTACTCCATTTTCTTCTAGTGTTTTGAGTTGTGGAAGAAGTGTACAGCTACACTGATTCTGGGGATTTTGCTTGTAACCTGATTTTAACCTTCCTATGTGCTTAAAAAGCCTTAATCAGTGATTTTCAGAAATTCCATGTGGCTTTGTAGGTTTCTGTTTTTATTTCAGTTTTCATTATCTTTGCCTATAAATATAATGTCATTCATGTTTTTGATAGAGGAACTGGCTTTCATTATGAAAATTTTTTCTGCTATTTTTCTAAAGATTGCTTCACTTGTGTTGTTCTATTCTTTTTTCTTGGTATTCCAAGGATATGTAGATTTAACCTCCTGGATCTGTTCTCTATATGTCTCACATTTATTCTCATTGTTCTCATATCTTCATTTGGGTAGTGGTAAACCAAAATGCCTACAGAGTTCAGGAAGGTAGCAAAGATAAATGAAAGCCAACCTGGTACAAAAATAATGAATGATGAGGACTGTGGAGAACAAATGCCCCTTCTAAATGTGGCAGCTGTCAATCACATGGTAGTCAGCTCTAATAGAATATTACCAGATTTCTTTTTTTCCCTCAAACACTAAAATCTCTTTTTATTTTTTAAATATGATATTCCTTAACACAAAAAAGAAAAAACAACTGAGAAAGAATTTCACAACTTACCATTGGGATGATCTTGGTCACCCAAAGAATGATCTGTGACTTCACTCTCTTTTGTAACACTGTCATCCTTTGCAGAGTCTGACACAACAAAAAACCAGAACCTCTAGTTAGCATTTTTAACTGGGAAATAGAACAATGTCCAGGACTAGCATATAGATCTTTCTGGGGGACAAAATGTATTATCTTTTAAAATACCATTAAAATACTCAAATTTGTTCATCAATAAATAATCTTCTCTTAAAGTACCGCATAAGATGTCTCTAACAAAGTTTATGAAGATAAAGACGGTAGAGATTTGGTTGGGACATTATTTTGCAACAAAGAAAATATAAGCAGGCTTTACACATTAGTACAATCTTAGGAGAATGGTGCAAAAGGATATGAAAGGAAGACGAAAGAGAGAAGGTTGAAGGAATTTCTAATTTTAATATTCTTAATGCTTCAACTGCAGTTGTTCATATATGGGGACCTTGAGTCCTTGAGAAAGCTAGATGCAGAGCTTTGAAATCCAGTGGTAATTAAGTTCATCTTCCTTAGGAACCATACCAGTAGGACAATAGCAAAGGGGGAATTCAAACATTCTGTTCTGTGCAATACCATCCTCTCCCTTCGTTAGCACATTCAAAAGTGGAATCAGCACAAGTTCTTTTTTGTTATATGATGTACTTTATAGGAAGTAACATGGCTTAAACAGCTGCAATGACTATCGACTCTCACAGGACTAGAAGGGATCCCTTGTTGGATGTTTGAGGGCTTTTTATAGGCTCTTTAAAAAGCTATTGGAAAGAGCATGAGACTGGGTCAGCAAGAAGACAGAATATAAGTCTGTCATTCATTCCACAAATATTTATTAAAGGCCAACATTATGCCAGACACTGTCTTTGACATTGGGGGAGGAGGGTCAATAGGAATTGACTCAGTCCTCACAGAGGTTACAATCTAGTCATATTTTTCATGCAGCTACAAGGGTGTTAATCTAAAGATATCTAAAGTCATAAGCTAGATTTCTATGCCTATGGCCATGGAGAAAGCTGGGGATGGTAGACCAGCAGCTCTAGTATTTACAAATGGGGGCTTCACTGAGTTCATATTGCTTGGCTGAGTTTCAATTCCCTAACAGAACTGAGTCAGATGGAGTCCAGAATAAATCACTCTTTCTTTGTCACCAAAATCATACCTTTCCCTTTGCCCTCTCTCCTCAGATTAGGAGATAGCTCTCAACAATAGGGTTTGGAGTATTATAAGAAAGTTTGTTTCTTGAAATAGCCACAAGCAACATTTAGTGGGTAAGTGAGAAACCTGGGTAGTTAACATATGATTCAAATTTAATAACCAGTGAAGCAAGTATACATCCAAAAGGGTATGATCTTAATTAACTGCAAATAATTCCCCCAAGGCAAATGTTTAATTATCTGCACAGCTTCTTCTTTCTTTCTGAGACTAACAGTAAGTTTCAAAGTCCAAATTGGAAACAAAACTGAGCATAGACACATTTTCCAAACTGTTATCTCACTCAAGTCAAAATTATTTTAAACCAGCCTTCATTAAAACATGGCTTTTTAACTTTGGCTCTCTCACATGGATAAAAAAATCCATTGAATACTCTCTTCCACACTAACACTGAAAATGAACAATGATTGAAAAAGGTATTATACAAATCAGGCTAAATTTTAATTTAGAAACTTTAACCTGTTTATAGAAATATCATTTGACATGCAGTCTTGGGCAACACTCATTTCTTTCAACATCAATGTTTTAGGATTATCCAGGATGTTGTATGTAATTAAAATGTAAGTATTTACACTAAAAAATAATTCATTATGCTTTCTAACTTATATAAACAGTATGTTTCATTATGTAGCAAATATTTCATAAGAAATGTCTTTTAAAAAGTGATTTACACTGAGTTTACATGTTTATGATCTAAAGATTCACATAAGATGGTTGAAAATATTTGAAAAATTAATCTCTAGGCTGTACGTGTTTGGTACCAAAATTTGTGTCTTTAGCAAATTAATTGACCCTTTAATTTCAATTTCCTTGGGGAGTTGTTTTAATTTGCTAAGGACGCATTTGATCTTGTATGCTCTAATATTTAACATATGTCACTGAATCCAAGACATTATCAATTGTTATTTGCACTATTATTTAACGTAGGATTTAAAAAAATTACCATATGAACACTAACGCACTATAAATCTTGCATCTTGATTTTTGAAATAAAACACATGAAAGTCTATGCTTCCTAGACATACAATAGTTTAGTATATTCTGTGTGTACACAAATACGTCTTTATGTGATGATAAGGCTTTCATATCAACAAGACCCATCACAAAACCCACAAATACATATTGTTTTGTATGTGAGCCTTTTCTCCAGAAATTGTTATGCCTCATATACAGCCATAAAGCAAGATAAAAAGGATACACTCATGACATCATCTAAACATAACTTAGTGGAAGACTGTTTCCACTGTAGTTTCTCTATTAAAAGGGCTATTTGAATTTCTAGTCTCATGAACCTTAATGGTAATGATTTGGTGCTGAGTGTTTAAAATCACAAGTCTTACACTTAACTGTGGGTTTCAAGTGACAGTGTAGCCTTTTTGCTTAGGAGGTGATGAAAACTGTCCTCTTTACATATATATAATCATTATTTATAATGAGAAAATATATGTAGTACATATGGTCACTAAAAGAGTTTTTATTTCTATGTAAGTTCTATAAATTACCATGACAAATGTAATTGTATATACTAAATTTTTACAATATCTTGGAGTCATAATTTATTTAATTCTAAAAATTATCACTTGGTAATATTCAAAAAATGTAAAACAGTTATCACCTAATTTTGAGATTCAGTCTATGTTATTTTAATAGCAGAATACTACAATTAAATTTATATGTAGATTCTGACTTTCGAAATCTTTAAGGTCAATGTTCTATTAGAGAATATTTTCAAATGCTAATATTAAATTAATATTCAAGCCAAAGTCCTAAAGATATATTGTCTTTTGTGATTAACAAGAATAAAAAAGAAATACTGTCATAAATCTTTGAAAAATCTCATTTAGAAAGTTGAAAAAGGCTTAAAAGAAATTTAAAATAGATTAAAACTAAAAGAGCATAAAACAAATTCTAAAAACAGGTCCTTCTTAATGCAGTCAATTACAAATGTCTGCACAGAACTGTACCTGTATAGATTTAAGGTGTGATGATAAATGATGAAACTATTGAATGTTTAATAAACATTCCTCAACTATAAATCAAAATAAATGCTCTGTCTTTCAAAAATGTCCCTTTAAAAGAAAAGTTCTTAGCCCTAGGGAATCCTTGACTATATCTAGGGATCCATAAACCCTTTTGAATGATATGCAAAAATGTGCTCAGATATTCATACATTCATTTTTTCTGGGAGGGGATAGCTTTCAGAATATTCTCATAGGAAGCCATTACTCCAACAAGGTTAAAAATAACTATAGAAATGTACACCTAATGTCAGGGACACTGTCATTTTACAAAAGTTTTTTAGGGTTATTATTGAGGATTTATCTACAGAACTTGATGCCCACTCCATCTGATCAGTGATGGCAATTCTTGAATTCTTACGGTAGATCTGACTTGAGGAAATAGCCAAAAAATACAATATAGAGATATGTTAATAAATGAGGACAATCCAGCTGGCAAAAAACACTTCGCACCAAAATTTAGAGGTGACTATAAAGTAAAAAACTGAACTATCTGAAGACATTTTCAAGTAAGGAGCTGTATCAAATACATGTAGTAAGAAAGCTAGCCCCTGACTACTATTTAGAGTACGGCAGGAGGTTATTTTGGTGTAAACATTCAATGGATCTGAACAAAATAAATTCTAATACAAACACATACACAAATTTCTTGTTCTACAATGTGTAAACATCCACAGGGAAGTAACTCAGCTTGAGGCAAAAGTTGCACAGAAACACGATCACCTGGGCTTCTTTTGATATTTGTAAACAGATTCGATTATAACAAGCAAACATTTATCCTGTTCTGCTTTTTTGAATCACTGGTTTATTATGTGAAGCAGTTAAAATAAACTAGTTTTTCCTCCATCTGAACAATGTGCTACAATAAACTAAAGTCTCCACAGCCGTTTATGATCTCATTGAAACTTTGCATAGACTATTCTGCCATATAGAAAAAAGATATCCTGCAATACGTGCTCCCAGAGTATTCAAATGGTGATGATCTGAACTGTGCTTGGTCTCAGTGAAGCTAGATATACAAGGCTGATCTATATTTATTTGAAAAGTAACTGGGTCCGCAGGACAGGACGTTGCCCTGAGCATTGGGAGGCCAGACTGAGCTGTGGATGGTCATTTGTCTTCATTTTGCAATCATTAACCTCCATTACAAGGTGGCCAATCATTCCCAGAGTTATGGAATCCAGGTATTAACAGTCTTTGGGACACAGCCGAGAAAGCTACCATCACGTACACCACTAACTTGGTTTCTCTCAGAAAACAAATGTCAAATTCCAAACAGCAAACTCAGGCACACTGGCTCATTCCTACATTGGAAGTGATGTTCTTCTGCAGGTTGTTATTGAAAATACAAGCAAACCAGAGAATCAGTTATGATGGGATGGACAACAGTTAAGGATTTGGGTTCTATATTTATAACCACAAGCGTTGTAACTCTAGGAAAACCCATTCCCCTTATATAGTCTCAGTTTCTGCACCCAGGAACAGCGGTCTTGAGCCAGATAAGCTCTCCGAAATACCTTCTAATGTACATCAGCTGATTTGTTTACATTATCTCTTCGTTCTGGGTAACACTAACACTTCTCTGTAAATGTTTCCATGTGTCCCTTACCATCCGCATACCTGAGCTAGACAGTTCTCACCCTGAGAGTTTTACTAGTTATAAAATAAAGGTGAATAGTAGGGGAAGTAGTGTCATGTGATATCCATGCCACGTTGGCCATCGTTAACTCTATGAATTGATGAAGAATCATCACGATGTGAAACAGCAGCTGGATATGAAGGCAGGCTGGACCATGATGGGAAAAGAAATGCTCAATTGCCCTTCCCACC